ACACACACACACACACACACACACACACACACACACACACACATTGGAGATTGCCTTGTTAGTGAGACAACTTTCTGGGCCTTCGGCATATAGTGGTAAGGTGGCCAGTTCCTTTCCACACCACCTTTACTTTCCCAACTTAAAAGTCAGGAACCAATTACTGCTGGGTGGGCAGGAGAGGGCAAAAGAAATCTGTGTCCGAACCGAGGCTCGAACCTTGACTTTCTGCTTCGGAGACAAGCGCACAAACCGCTCCACCACCACAAACAACATACATTACATTGTAAGATTCTTTGCTTTATTTTTGTCTTCCAGCACATTTTAACTAAAGTATTGAAAGAAAGTAGCCATTTGTGAACTTGCAGATTTTGATGAGTAAAAGAAGATGGATCAAGGAATAAAATTATTCAATTTTATAGTGAAATTTTGTAAAGCTATGACAAGTTTCCTTTCTAGGTAATATGAACAACAATTCATCATATTTTATTTAATCTATTCATACTTTATCTTTAATAATGTTTAAAGAATAAAACAAATACTTACCTTCCTGTATCCTGCCCTTACACTGAGCAAGTTGAGCCATCTCAGTCCAAGCCAGAGGCAAATTCACATGAGCACCATGACCACATGATATAACTCCCGACCTCCTCTGACATGAAAAATAAAAACAAAATTATACACAACCAGACACAGAAGACATTTTGGTGGAACAAGGCAATAGTTGAACAAACTTTATTTCTACAAACTCTCGTCACAAATATACTTTGTACTGATCAAGTCAGCACACATATTCGTATTATGTAGATAAGTCATGAAAAATTCTAATTACCTTTACACTACCCAATCAAAATGATATTGTCAATGAAAGATTTTGAAAACTTAATGGGGGAGGGTTAAGCATTTAACACTTATAATGGAGGTTGAAGTGAGCAAATGCAGTAAAGAAAAAAGAAAAAAATAGGCACCTTAACTCCTTGCGGACGTATCGGCGACATATCGGCTGTGATAGGGTGCCTCAGTATTGTTTCATTTTAACATGATCCGTCATTTATAATTACTTTTTATTGTTATTGAAAACTTGGAAAGGATTTAGAGAATACGAAAACATCTAGTTTCACTTTGTCAAAGCGTGGGTTTGGGGAAAAACGAGTGAATTAGTTCTTGTGGTCTTGCATCAACAAAATGATGTAACCGTACTCAGTATAAATATCAAAACTCAAACAAAAATTGGAATATCGCTTTCAAATAAAAAGCTGCGCATTCAGAAATCTATGGATTATGCTCTCGGCCTGAATAGGATAAGATAGCTACACTGATTTGCTTTCACTCTTTTGGTGAATGTAATTTGTTCCGTCAAAATTTATTTTTCTCATCACCATCGCTACTTCTAACCCTTGAAATGCATACTTATGTTCAAAATTAATCCTTGTTTCATATTGGAACGTATTCCTCATTCAGTTTCCTTCAATTTGATACATCATACTTTACGTTTTGACAGATGGTTATTATGTTTATACAAAGTTATTTTGTATATTACCTGAGTAGCCAAATCAACCCACAAGTTAATTACGTCTAGACCCAAAAAAAAATCCGGAAAGAGTTAAAGACTAAAACCTAAAAAAAATTGTTTTTAATGCATTTAAAAAACCCAAGACACAAAATGAAAAAAATAGCTTTGAAAATGTATTTGCATCACAGGAATATCTTTGCAGAAAATTACCTTAGCTCTTTCCAGAAGTTTCCTTGCCCTCTCTTCGTACTGTTCTTTCTCCTCAAAATCTTGAGCAGAGTTGAAAAGTTGCACAAAGTCCTCAGTGACTTCAACAGGATTCCTAAAAATGTATGTTTTATTCTAATGAAGTTTGAAGTACAAGACCTGCACTGATTATTTGACATTCTAAAACAACACAAGATCTATTTTGTTATTTATGTAGACACAAATTTCAACTAACCAAAAATAGAATCTATTCAGTTTCGTGGTTTAAGCAAATGAAATCAAAGGAGGAAAGTAAAAGACAAAGACAAACTGAAAAAAAAACAGGTGACCGTAAAGAAAGCAGATATTAACAAAATAAATTATGGTCATTTAGATTTAAGAAAAAGCAAGGAGTTACACAAGAAAAACAGGTGGGTAAGAAAAATAACAAGAAATGTAACATAAATTACCTCTGAGCTACTGTGGCCTTTTTGCTCTTTAAACTTGTCAGATAAGTCTGTTTCAAGAGCCTCTCTTGCAATTCAAGTCTTTGGCTGCTTGAAATAATCCCAAATTTATGCACAACTGGAATCTTTGTGATTGGCATCTTGACAGTCTTCAATATATGCAGTCAAGGTCTCAAACTTCTGAAAATGAAAAGTTAACACACTATTCATCACTACATGAAAGTATGAATTTAATCGGCATTTATTCTATTATAAATGTAAATGAAAACAGAAGAAAAAAAACTTTGAAGAAGTCGGTCAAGATTCATAAAACAGTATTTGAAAGTACATGAGTTTGCAAAAAAATAAGAAAGGAAGCAATAATATGTATCACGACGTGGTGAAATCAGGCGCTCGTCAAAATAACGAAATTGGAAAAACAGGTATTTTTCCGCCCGTTTGGAAATTTTAATTGAATTTTTTTTTTTCACTCAACACATTAAAGAACACATTTCAGTGTTGATTTTTACAGCAAAACGTCTATTAAAGGCATAAAAGATGTAAATTTTCAGTTTCCACGGACTCTCAAGCTGAGGAAATAACTTAACTTTGGCAACCATTTTCACGCTAATTTTACCTCTGAAACCAAACGACCCCCACCTCCTTCAATCACCAATATCTTGATTTATATCTTAGATATATGGATATTTTTTTACATCAAAAGCAAGGCAAATGGGCAGGCTTTAAGATGGTACCAATAACTCTATATGTCTCAAAATTGACGAGCACCTGATTCCACCGCGTCGTGACGCATATATTCAATAAGAAATTTTAACACATCAACTCCAATCTAACCCCCTATGTCCCTACCCTCGCGTCAGATGAGTGTTGTGCCCATGATTAGCCATAAGTGTTAAAAGCCGCCATGCCAACAGTCATTTTCTGTGTTGATTCACAGTTATGTGTTTGGCCAACCATGAAATAGTACCAACTGCTTGATCCATCCCCTTCCCCCCACGACCCACACCCCACTGACCATACAAATGCCATCCACCCTTGTGGCTCTCTTTTTTCATGTCCCATTCACCTGAAGACTGTTACACAAACAAATATGTTTCAGATCAACGCATGGTGTGTGGTTGTGATAAGATAGTATAAATAGGGACGGAGGGTAGGACTTTACAGAATAATGTGAACTGCACCCTATCTGACTACAGTCGAACTCGGATTCAACAAACTCGGATTCAACGAAAGGAGGTGGATTCCCCATTTTTTCTCTTCTTTAAAATCAATAAAAAATAACTCTGAATCAATGAACACATAGATGAGCAAGCTCAGATTCAACTACGCCCCTTGCAGGGTGAACAGTTCTCCTTGGCGTGGCTTCGTTCATTTTCCTCCCGCAACGAACCTTACCTATTCCTGGAAACCATCAACGGCACATGCATCGTGAACCATTATTCACTTAGCGGCGTATTGTTAATATCTTAAGCGACCAACCAGCAGCCTTCTTTCATACCAGCACATGCATTGTTGGCAGGGTCAAATGGGCAGCCAGCACACATGTGACTAAATTAAAAAGTGGGAGAGACCGCGATCTGTGAATGTGGAAATGACCAAGAGGATGCCAACCATATCCTTCAGCATTGCCTGCGCTACGCCACCCTTCATACACAGACGTGGTAGAATGAGACTCCCCTTGAGAGAAAGCTCTACGGCAGTCTCTTAGATTTGAAGAGGACTGCACAGTTTGTGCGTGACATCGGACTGACTGTCTAGCAGCTGTCATCGAGAACGAGGAAGAAGAAGAAGAAAGACTGCCAAAGGGTTTTTCTTTTCTTTTCAAAAAGGGGGATGGATGGTGTAAGAAGGGTTTTTTGTGTTGTTTTGAGGGGGAGGGGGGGGGGTTGTAAGCTTTCTTTTTGTTGCTGATTTTGTGCAAGGATAAAATAAACGAAATATTATGTTAGACGAAGAAGACTGAGAGCCATGGTAAAACAAACACACGGGTCGCCACCACTCCGAGAATGAGCGATGCTTCTGCTGCAAGTTCACGTCAACGTCCATCCATTGTTACTTTGTCACAGATTAGGTACACAAAACAGTGACCAGTCACCTCGCACACGATTTGTGCACGAGTTGTGGGCGGGGCTTATAGGTTATGATGGATCACGCTTCCCTCATCATTTGTTGAAAATGTATCGTTAGGCCTACCCATTGATCAATTGATTTGGGTAAACATTCACTGGAGGGACTAACAATAATGACAGGTGAATGAATTATGACCCACAGCGTTAGGGGCCGATTCAAAATTTATGACAAAGCATAGGACAATGTAAGACCCCATCTGGTCACTTGAGGCAGGTAAATTTGACAGTGGGTTGATAAAAATAAGGTACCCCCCCCCCCCTCAACCTCTTTCGTTTTTTTTTTTGAAAGTGTTAATTTGTGTTATCTTTAAACAATCTAAGCAATTCTTGTTCCATAAATCTAGCCAGTACCAGTACTATTCTGCACTAGCTCCTCTTTTCCTCCCCAAACAAAGTTGTGCACACAAACACACACACATACACACAAACACACACACATGCACACGCACAAGCAAACGCAAACACACACACACCTCAAAAAGTCGACGATGAAACCAACCTCGCATCCCCTAGTGACGTAGCCCATCACGCGCTAAGGGGCAAAAGTGGGTCCGCAACTGCGTGGACAAAAGCCCAAAGAGCTTAATGGAGGTAGAGAATCTTTGGCATTACCGAACGGAATTGCGTGCATAGCAAAGTATAATTGCGCACATATAGCGAAGAAAAAAAAATGTACTGGTGGACGCAATTGCGTGCATTTATAGCAAAAAATGTATTGATGCATAACTGTGTGTGCATTGCAAAAAATGGGTTGATGCACGCACTTGCATACGTAGACACTCTCGTATAATAATAGTGACACCTGGACAGTCTTCGGGGGATAATAACTACATGATCATACTAAAAGGGTGGACTTCCGTTACGAGCGACCACTATTAAATCTAGATTATACTCAATTGCTTCCCAAAACATGATGGAAGACTGAAATTTAAGCCACTGTTATACCATCTGTTCATGACAAAATTATGGCATTTTGCGAATTTTTACGCCCAGTTCAAAGGAGCTTCTCTCACTCACAGGTTCGAATCACGGTCACGTCACTGATTTTTCTAATCATGTCATATTAAAGAGTATGCTTTCAGATGTTACCATGTCACTAATAATACACATTCCAGGAGAAGAGACAAAAGAAAGCAACAGAACACAAAGTAACACAAAACCAGTTTACTTTCTTTACTTTCTTTATTCCCCAACCAAATACTAAACCCTATCTTTTACATAGACCACTCAAAAGTCCCTTCTTTACTGCGTAGGCTGTAGGTTGTGTTACGTTCTTGGCTATGCTTATATAGCTTGACGAATAATTATAAAACGTGCTCACAAACAAACACAAGACCTCAGTGAGAATGAGTAGTAACGGAAGTTATCCTTTATTACCAAGGAGGTCACATTACGACCTTGAGGCGTTATAACATAGTTGGTCAGTTAAGTCCAAGCTATTGATGTACACACATGACATCCCACCTCTTTTAAAAGTTACATTTGCCTTTTGTAACGGATGTTGAACATCAACCTTGAGAACGATAGTCCTTGATGACATCATGACTTGATCACACACATAAATGTATCCAGTGGTGTGCTAGTTTTAACACAAGCATTGGACTGGTCAGCTCTAAGCTTTTACTTTAGTGTAAAATATGCATAGTGTATTTTGCATGAGTGTTGTGGTCAACAGTGAATAACATTTTTAATGACTTTGCCTACAACGTATATTTGTTTGGTTTCCTCACTGTGCGACCACTTCTAGTGATATAATGTGGAACGTTGTGTGTGTCGGAGTGTTCCGGTGAAGGCGGGTTGCCTCCACGATCACGGGTGTGTTCGTACACTTCTTGATCATTTCGTGGTGAGTTTGGGAACTCGACCAGTGGTCTGGATGCTTGAGGTCCAGCTTGACCACGTATGATGGGTGCGGGGACATTATTGTGGACATTGCTTCTGTATGAACCACCCTCGCACTGGTCTGGTTGGAGGTCATGATGAGGCTCTCCTGACTGCAAGAGGTGCTGTCGGTTTCTGCGAAGCAAACCTCTCTTTGTACGGATGATGTAAGACCTGTTATCTAGTTGCTCTTTTACTTGAGCTGGTTCCCAAGTACCGCTGCGACTGTCTCGGTACCTGATGAACTCCTGGGGTTTCAAAGTCGCTAGGTCTTTTGTGTGACTGTTGTAGTATTTTGCGTGTTTGTCCTTCCTGTCTTTGATCATTCAACTGCTAACGATCCTTTTGATTCTGTTGGAGACGGAAGAAGTGTCCTCAGCTTTCTTCCCATGAGCATTTCAGCTGGTGAGGCTTGGTCTGATTTGTCTGTCGTTCGGAAGTTGAGGATGCTTAGATAGGGATCCTCGCCACTGTCTTTTGCTTTCGTGAGGATTTGTTTCACAGTCTGCACTGTTCTCTCTGCAAGTCCATTAGACCTTGGATACAGTGGACTGGATGTCTTATGTTCAATCTCCCATGACTCTGTGAACTTTCTAAAGTCAGTGGACGAGAACTGTGGTCCATTGTCAGTCACGAGCTGGAGCGGTATGCCATGCCTTGCAAATATTGCCTTCATATGGTGTATGACCGTTCCACTCGTTGTATCATTCAGGAGACTGACTTCAAAAAATTTTGTTGTGTAATCCACGACAAGCAAGTAGTTTTTTCTTCCGAAGTGGAAAAGATCTGCCCCTACCTTTTCAAATGGTCTTTCTGGAATGGTGTGACTTTGCAGTGGCTGTCTTTGTTGAGTTTTTCTATATTTCAGACATATTGGGCATGTCCCAACCACTCTTTCAATGTCTTTAGACATTCCAGGCCAGTACACGCTTTGGCGTGCTCTTTGCTTGGACATCTCTATACCAATGTGTCCTTGGTGAATTTTTGATCATATTTCTTTCTACAAGGCCGCAGGTATTACAATTTGTTGTCCTTTGAGGAGTAACTTTTTGTAAATTACCAGTTCTTCCCTGAAGGTCCAAAATGGCTTTGCTGCTAAGGGCACTTTTGAGATGTTCTCGGGCCAACCTTTCTTTATGAGGTCTGCAATTAGCTGACACTTCTCATCTG